CATCCCCCCTCTACTCCCCAGGCAGGGGAAGGCCCTCACAAGGGGCTCCCCAAAGTCTACCACATCATTCTGGGCCAGGCCTAGGCCCTTCCCCATGTGTCCAGGCCAAGAGAGCATCACATGGGATGGGCTCTCAAAATCCCTTCTTTTTTTTTTTTTTAAGACCTTACATATTTAATACAGTGTGTTACCCCTGTACAAATGGAAAAAAATTAAGTTCAACATTTCTAGACCAATATGGCTGTTAATTTTTGTACAATGCCAACTCAACACGGTAAACTGGGATACTTTTTTCCAAAGTTGACAGCACAGCTAAAGTTTCCAAAAATTCAAATTATATATGTATATATATAAAAAGACCAATAATGGCAGTATGTTATGCATCAATAGCAGCAACAGCTTTTCCAGGTTCTGCTGTGTGTGTTTCTTTTAAATCCATATGTGGTTGTTTTGAGGAAGTTTATTTATTTTATTATTTATTTATACACCTTTAAAAATTATACACATAATTTACATTGTATCATTCTACTGCCTCTTATCCAACATTATTTTCAAATGGAAATAAGTTTTAGAACTTAAGTAAATAAGCTAGAGAATATTTTTTTTCGAGACAGGGTTTCTCTGTGGCTTTGGAGGCTGTCCTGGAACTAGCTCTTGTAGACCAGACTGGTCTCGAACTCACAGAGATCCACCTGCCTCTGCCTCCTGAGTGCTGGGATTAAAGGCGTGAGCCACCACCACCCGGCCTTAAGCTAGAGAATTTTATGTCACTGATACTAATTTTAAAAGATCAGGATGCCATGCAATGCCATATATATTATGCTGTCATTAACTTATTTCTAATACATGCTGAATTAAATGCATATTGAGTCCAACAGATGTTGTAATCAAAGCAAGAAACTGTCCCTCATGAACTGTCTAACTGGGGCATTTTAGGAGGCACTAGGTTACTGGGTAAGAAAACAGATGTTTTAATTGGGAAATAGTTCAAGTCCCATCTTTGTCACCAGCTGAGTGACTTCTGTGACTGTCTTTTTGTCTCTCTGATCCCAGTTTCTGCACCTGGAAACCGATGACATGAATGCCTAGGAAGTTTTCTAGAGGGTTAAAATGAGGTGAGCCATGCCAAGCTCTTAGGGTAGCTTGTAGGCTGGAACAGTGTACCAACTATGATTATTATTAGTTTTTTGATTGGGGACATATGTGTCATTACAGAATGCCAAACACCAATGAATATGCCTGGAGACAAACAAAATCTATCGGGTGTCTACATCTGACAGGCTCTTTAGTAGGTCCTGGAGACATGCTGATAATTCTTGAAGCGGCAGCTGTGTGCTAGAGATAATGACAACAGAGTATGTGTAATGCAATGAGAACTTTGTGCCTAGGTTAATATGGCAGGTCAGGGAAGGAGGAAGGCGAACGTGGTCGAACCTAGCAGCAGAGAAGACAGTATGCAGATCCATACGTCAGGCCTCTCCTTGCTGGCTCCTGGGGACACATCAAATTCCAAGTACATGGAATCCCTATGGTCAGCAAAGGTTGCATGAAGTTTGAGCATATGTTCAGACATAGAAGCCTGCTATCATTTACTTACAGGCTCACATACTATTAAAGAGTTGAAGAATACCATTTTCAAAATTGGACAGTGGTCAAGCAGCATATGAATAAAAATACATAATTTCCTTCTACAGAGATCTCCCACTTGATACATGGAAGCTGGCTGCCTTCCTTATCTGTGGGTTCAATCAGTGCTGGTGAAAAATATTTGGAAAAAGCTGAAACTTCACTGAACAAGGGTAGATTTTCATGTAGTACTGTCTGGATTATATTTTGTCAGACTACTTACACAAAATTTATATTATGTTAATACTTTAGAGGTGATAAAACACATCATAGATGATTGTGTAGTTTGTATGCAAATACCATGCCATTTTACATAAAGAACTTGAACACCCATGGATTTTAATGTTTGGAGTCTTCTTGGAAGCAGTATTTTCGCATATTGGGGTAACTGTTTGAACATGTGAGAGAGGGGCTTCCATTAGCATCTTTTCCCAAATGTTCAGATGTTAGCAGCTAGTGAGTTGCCCTGTTGGGGGGTTTCCCTC